TTTTTTTTTTTTACACTGTCCCTTTAAAAAAATAAAAAAAATAAATCACTTTTATTCCTATCACAAGGAATGCATGAATGCAGGAATAAGCATTGACAGGTCCTCTTTATGGAGAGATATGGGGTTAGTAAGACCCCACATCTCTCCTCCTACAATGTAAAGCATAGGGGTGTTTTCGGGTGAAACGTCGGTGTATCCCTACCTAATACCATAGAAATGATCAAGGAAGATGCGGTCCCTGTCCACCTCTATGGTAAGCCTGCAGGCAGTGGGGCTGGTACCTTGAACCTCCTGGGCACACCTTGATTGGACACACATTGGCTAAAGTATGCACCCAGTGTGCATGTGGCCTAAAGTGTAAGCTCTATATTTTTATTGTTAAATCTGCTCAAAATGAACAGAACCAATGTTTTCCTTTCAACTTTTGCTTAAAGAACAACTCCTGGAAACCTTTTTATATTCCCATGCAGTGGGGCTGTGCCATTACTTCATGGGTTAACTGCTCGTTTAGTCCAGCAGCGCAAGGAAAACCTATACTTGCCCAATCCTTCAATCCTCTGGAAAACTATGCTCCCCACGTCCAGCGGTGGACTGTCCTTGCCGTCGTCCTGTCTAGAGCCAGTCTGAGCATGATGACGTCAGGAACAATCCATTTACAAGACCAGTCTTGTGTTCGGCGGATCAGCACATTAAGTGTATCTCCTCTCTGTAGTCCCCTAGACAAAAATGAGCAGTAATAACAGTGCAACGCTATAAATCTCAATATCATACTATTCAAATCATAAACGTGTATAACTAATCATAACACAAAAAAACCATATGCCCCTAATGACGCCACCCCTGATGAAATCCGTTGGGTGGAGCCACCTCTGATAAAATGCATTGGGCAGAGCCTCAGCTATCTTGGTTTTGGGCAAACGATCTGTGTATGTGAATTGAAGTGCCTTCTCGTCATTTGTTCATTGTAAGTGCATACATCTCATTAAACTTGCATTTCTCCATTGGTTTACACTGTGGAGTGAACACAGTGGTGCAGTTGTTTAACCTCCCCGGCAGTATGATTATGTCAGGATTTGTACCAAAAGCGGTACCATTTTTTTTGCATGGAAGTTTGGTGTTACGTATTATAGGCCTGCAATTCTTAGTAATTACTTAATAAATACTCATAAAAAAAAATATAATAATAATAAATTTAATTCAATAATATAATCAAACCAAAAACACTGAAATTTGAAATATAGCGCCAAGTTCGCACATCACTGACCAAAGTCACAAAATCGTTTTCAGTGTCTGATGACGAATTTCCCCCACGGATCATTATCACTCAATTCTGCAAGTGGTTCTGATTTACTATCGCTGTTCTCTAGCCGGTCTAAAACAGATTTTGACCTAAAGGGACGCTTTTTGGACGCTGTGGACTTTTCTAAGTTTCCAGGCAGAAAGAACAGTCAAAATGCAGGCAGGGCGCCGGACAAAGCAGTAGGGACAAAATGTATGTGAAATGCTTTGATACAGGAATGTTTTGCTATGAAATCGTTTATAAAAAAAAAAAAAAAAAAAAAAAAAAAGTCATTTTTTTTTTTAATTTTTAAATTTGCTGCCGGTTCCGGCGCCTGTACGTCCCGACGTCACAGGGACCGGAACACGAAAGCCAGATACCGGCATCGGCTGGAGGAGATGGCCGGGGACGCTGCAGGGGACGCATCGCGAGAGCGAAGGACAAGGTGAGCGCTGTAGGGAATCCCTGTGCAAATGCTGCATGGTAAGCCTGAGTGTAGCTCCTGGTTACCGCTTGGTACTGACATTTTACCCCGAGCTACACTCAGGAATACTGCCAGGGAGGTTAAGTACCTGAGTGAAGGTGGATGTCCTGTGGAGTATACAGAGCGCCTTTTGACCACTCATTATAGGTAATCATTCAACTCTGGTAAGCCCCTCTCTTTGATACAGGAAAGCTACTGGCATTCACATCTGTCTTCCTCTTGTCGCATACAGAAGAATATTTATTATATCTTTTGGCTCATCATTTGGGACTTTTGTTTTTTTTTTTCACTTTAAACACTTATATATTGATGCAATCTTTGGATATGTTTTTTGGGTAATGACTATGTTATACACATGTTTATGATCTGAATATCACCTTGTGATTTTTCTAGCACTGCACTGTTGTCTGTTGGATATGTTTATACCATAATAAGGTATTGTGTCCGCTGCTTAATTTTTCAAGTTTTGGAGCCCTAGCGCGGTCTTTTGTTTTAAATTAAAAAGGAGCAGTTAACCCATGCAGTGTGGGCACAGCCTGCATGGAATAATATACATTTTGCCCGGAGATCTTCTTTAGTTATATATCTATATCATTGTATGCAGGGTTTGTAGTGCTGGCTCCTAGTTCTGGATGAGGTTTGTCCAGGCCTGTCCTAAATATGCTCCAAAGGGTATAAGGAGCTCTGACATTAAACACCTGTGTGCTTACACTCTGATGGCATCATCTATTCCCTGCCTTGTGGTGGATTTTGTGCTTTTGATGTAAAGTACTTGAAACTAAATTGTACAGCTTTTAACCTTTTACAAGAAGAGATTGCTGTGCTGTGTGCAGCTAACTGAGAAAGTAAAGGAAGTGTTTAACCGCACTTCGGCTGATTCATTTTCAGATCTGCCACATATTTATTTATTTCAGGTACTTCTATAGCAACGTCAATTCTACGCAGGGCTTTATATATATATATATATATATATATATATATATATATATATATATACTGTGTGTATATATGTGTGTGTGTATGTGTATATATATATATATATATATATATATATATATATATATATATATATATATAGTACATTCACATCGGTCCCTAACCCTCAAGGGGTGTACAATCTAGGGTCCCTAACTCACATTCATACATACACATACTATGGGCAATTTATACAGGAGCCAAATAACCTACCAGCATGTCTTTGGAGTGTGGGAGGAAACGGGAGTACCCGGAGGAAACCCACGCAGGCACAGGGAGAGCATGCAAACTCCAGGCAGGTGGTGCCGTGGCTGGGATTCGAACCAACGACCCTAGTACTGCCAGGCAGAACTGCTAACCTTTTAGCCACTATGCTGCCCATATATCTCTGCTTGTTCAATTTACCTGCTTTTGACCATTCTTCAGGCACGTTACAGCCTATTCTCAGGGATTTTGTTTGTTATACAAATTATTTTCACCGCATTATGCCCTATCTAATCAGCTGCTGTCAGATCCCCCCTAGTGTGATCAGACTAATATTCAAATATTAGTCACAGCTTGTCCCAACTGTGCATGTGTAAGATTCAGACTTCAGGGAGACTGGTCCTTTAGCCTCCTGGGACGTGTGACTTGGATGTGGTGGCTGCATTTGTTTTTGTGTTTTTTTCATTGTGAACCACTAACTTCCCCATCCCCCATGTAAGAGAGATGAATAAAGGCACCCAGGGACAGGAAATGTTGTGTTCTCTAGATTAGTAGGTGAAAAGTCAGAAAAAAAGCAAACAAATGCAACTACTTCATCTAAGCACTGGTCAATTGCAATGTATTACACATTTGGCGTTTGGGTTTATATACACTTTTGGCCTTTATTTAGGCCTGGTTCACACCTATGCATGTTGCAATCTGCTGTGGGAAGAAGGTCAAAAAATGCAGCAGCTGAAAACACATAGATGTGAATGTGTCCGATAGGAAACCTTATTAAATGGACTTCAGTGTGTTTCTGCAAAATGCAATAAAACTGCATAGGTGCGAACCAGGCCTAAAGGAAGGATTGCAATACCACACTCCCAGGACAGAGACCGGACTCCCACTGAGAACCTAGGTCTTGTATTAACAACTAGGTCCAGTTCCTAATCATTTGCTTGCTGTAATAGCTTCTGATTGGCTATCACAGTGATCAGTTACTGTACACCCTGTGTGTGTTTTCTCCTCTGAATAGAGAGAAAGATGGAAACAAATGTGTTTGCAAACAAACAAAAAAATAATAAAAATTTTTTTAATTAAAAAAAAAAAAAAAAAAAAAAACGAGATCAGGGTTTGACCTAGGTCAGTGTTGGGGTCAAAATCAAGGTCACAGCATAAGTCAGAGTCAGTGAATTTTAGGTAGGATTACCAAAAAAAAAAAAAAAAGGTACCAGTGTGTTTTAGGTAGAATTAAAAAAAGCAAAATGCAGAGTGTTTCCTGAACCCTGCTATGGGTACAAGTAACATGCACATGTGGTATCACTGTGATCATTGGGTGCAGGAGAATTTATTTTGGGTTGTTCTTTTGTGGTAGGTTATGGTAATGGCAAGAAATACACAGCTAATTTTTTTTTATTTTTTCATTTTTTGCTATTTTTGGGCCAGTTTTCCTTTGATTAAAAAACAGGAGAGATCTATTACCATTCACCTCTAAATGAAAGCCCAATATGTCATGAAAAAACAAGGTATAATCCACTTGGATACACTAAGCATCTGTTCACACTATGAACTGCATGTGAATCGCATAGGAATTGCATTGCGTTCCTGTGCAATTCACAAGTGATTCAGTGAGGTGCGATTTGAGCCCATTCATTTTGAATGGGCTCAAATCGTACCACATTGCACCAAGAAGTGCAAGCACCTTTTTTGGAGTGCATTGTATGGTCCTTATGTAGTTCGCAATCAGGTTCTGGCAAACTGCACTGCGATTGGGATGTGTATTGGGTGTCGTTAACTTTTTATTGACACCTGCAGAGGATCACAAACACTGTACAATTGCAGTGCGGTACAGGAAGCGCTCGGGGATCACTGCCTTTCCCCGCACTGCGTATGTATGAATCTAGGCTAAGTAGTTGTGATCATATGTACAGTTTTAGTAACAAAGTTGCAAAATTGTGTTCAGGCATCAAGATTTGTTTTACCTTTTTGTCATGAAGGGATTAAAATACTTTTGATTTGTTTTGTTTTTTATTTTTTAATCTAAAAACATATTCTAATCCTTGTCCTTTACCTTTACAGATCCATAGTTGGCCGAAGATTTTTTTGTATAGTTGGTACTCTGTACTTGTATCGATGTATAACTATGTATGTTACTACACTGCCAGTTCCTGGAATGCATTTCAACTGTTCTCCAAAGGTACGTCTTCTTTTTTCCTGTAAATGTTTATTTTGTTACTTTTATAGGAACCACAGAGGAGCAGCTTGGCAGACACAGGAACATTGAACTTCAGGGATTTTGTAGGTTGGAAGGAAGTGTGTCATGGTCTCTTTTTTTGAAAGGAAGAAAGATGCCAGGCCTTCTACGAATGTTGTGTTTTGGAGTGACCACAGGTTAGGGCTAGTGATAGACCCATACTGTACATTGAAGAAGGATAGTTGGCCTGCAATACTGTGACAGCCCTCCAAACAGAATTTGTTGGACTCCAATCACCTTCTTATATGTTGCTGCTTTTTTTTCTGTGCTCTTTACTAGAGATGAAGTTTCAGTAATGTTTTAGCCAGTGAGGGAATAATTTAAATGAAGTGGCAGTTGGGAAAAGGGGAGGCGAGAAAGCTGTCATTTACAGGGAACCTATAGTGTGTTTTCAGTAAATTAATTTGATCTTTTAAAGTGATTGTAAATTGTCACCTTGTAAAACAACCCATTCAGGTTACAATAGAAATGAAAGGCAAAATATTTGTGTATAGATATAAAAAACATTATAAACACATGTTCCCCTTTTTATATCCCATTCTCTCTGTTCTCCGCTGCATAGGTACTGGGGGAAGAGAAACAGCAGTACACTGATCTTCCCAGTGAGTGGCTGTGGGGGGGTGTCAGGACAAGTCGGCTCATTGGACGAGAGCAGGCTGAGTTCCCAACACAGCTAGAGAACTGACCACAGTACTTGATGTGATCATTTTTTAATAGGAAAGCAGAGGGACTGGCAGGAACACCACAGAATTGACACAAAGGAAGCAATACAAAGAGAACAGGATAGTTCTTCTTACAAGTACATGGTTACAGCAGACCCATCAGGAATATTAAATGTTGGGTTTTCTTTAAATAAAGTTAGTTTTTAATTGTTTTTATGCTTTTTTTTATTTTAGTTGTTATATACCTTAGTTTTTTTTTTGGCTGACACATTACTAACTTCATCCTGGAGTGGCTATCTGTATGTCAAGGAATGTAATTCGCAATGCTGTATGAGGCTGCTTGCACACTGATCCATTTTTGTATTTAAAAGAAAAAAAAAAAAAAGCACATGACCATGAAATCCTATGGAACTCTTCACACACTGATCAGTTGTGGGTCCGTTGCATGTTTCAAAGTCTTGCTTGCTACTTTTTTGGCGCATGTTTGATGCGGTAAAAAAAATTGCACCTCCCCATTGAAATAAATGCAAAATGCACTTACAGTTGGGTTTTTTGATGCGTTTTTTGAGGCACGTTTTTTTCACTGGTGCAAAAAATGCACCGGAAACATGGCAAAAAATGCATATGCGTTTTTACCTTGTTTTTGCAAGGGAGCAGTGTGTACATAGCCCAAGAAATGTTGATATAAATGCAGACCTTGTACTGTTTATAGACTTGACAAAACTGCCATTTCAGTATTACTGCATTGGTCTTGTTTGATTTCCATGGTAACAACAATTGTTTGGTCACTTGAAACTGAAATCCCACTGTAGGTTGCACATTGCTGTGGTTTAAAAGTTGGTTGATGCGTCATTTCCAAGTGCATGGCCAATCTTATGCAACGTATACTGTTTTTTTAATCTGATTAGACCTGATCCACTGAGAGAATAGAGCAGGAAAGATTGAAGCCCAAGCAACTGTGACTGTGTATCATTCATGGCGTGCCTTGCATGTAACTGTTTTGGGAAACCGTTCAATTGATGGGTTTAGTTCTGCTCTGAGTGTTTATGGACATCTGCTCAGGATTCTTTTCTTGTTTATCATGCAATAATTTACTACAGTGGCCTTGCAGATGTTTCTTGCAAACATTCAATAACTCGTCTAACATTAGAGCTCGAGAGCTGTACTGATTATTATGACTGATCATTGACTGCTGCTGGAAGTGAGTTACCCGGCATCAGCATTTTAGTGCTCATAGAAGACCCAATGAGCAGCACTAGCCATGTACACCTTGTTTTGTTTTTTGTTTGTTTTAACCACTTGCCCTTCTGAGGATTTACCCCCCTTCATGACCAGGATGATGCCTGTAGCTGCAGGCATCATCCCGGTATAACCACTCAAAGTCCAGCGACGTACCAGTGTCATTGCTGGTCCATGTTGGGCGTATATGTACCAGCAGAGAACACTGGCATATGATGAATCGGGTCTGTGGACCAAAGTGACCTCAATTCATTCTTTTTTGTAATGACCATGTTGAAGGTTTGGCCCAAAAGAGTTTTTTACATTCAGAAACCGTGATCAGTTTCCATGCACGTTGTCTGGCAAGAGCTGAATTTGGGTGGGCAGCCATGTATTGTGCGTACAAATTGCTTTGGCCCACAATCAATTGATACAAATCTGTGAAAAACAGCGAAGGGCCTAAACACTAATGCTGGCAGAGAACGGGGCTGATCCTGCTAACACTGCTTTTTTTGTGGACGCTATATAAAGGAGGCACTAGTATAGTTCTGTTTGTGATCAATATATTGATCTGTAAAACACTATACTAGTAATGGGGATGATCAGCGACTGATAGTGTGCAGGCAATCTCATGTCAGCTGACCCTGGCTGGGAGGGGCACAAACTGACCCTGGTGCTATCTGATGTCACTAGTGGCAGGAATACAGTGATCAGTGAAAAATTCTATATACGGACACTGTGGTAATGGCACTGGCTGGGTGATGGGGCGATCAAAGGGTTAATAGGGGCGATCAAAGGGTTAAATGTTCTAATCGGACGTGTGTGTGTACAATGTATTGCTTTTACTCGGTGCCATGTTCTCTCTTCTCACCCTGTACTAACCGGGGGGGCAGCGTGGCGGCGAAGGCGCGTTCACACCCCAAAATAGGAAGCGACTCAAGATCACGTCACTTTGCCAAAAGCTGCTGCTTGTAGGTAAGGTAAGCAGCTGGCAAGTAGTAACAAAAAAAAAATTCTCAATATGGTATTTTTTTTTAAACATTTTTTTTTTTTATTTTTCTTTTTATTTTTTTTAATACTTTTATCAGAATAGTACAACGTTACCATATTAACATTGTACTACTGTGGGGGGAGGGGAATGGGTGATCAGGGATTTTTTTTTCTCTACACTTTGCAAGAGAAATAAAGATCATTTCTCCTGCAATGCAAACTTGCTGTTAGAACCTAACTCAGTCATGAACTGTCATCAATAAGTTAAGTTTTTGACAACTCAAGATAGTGATCTGTGATTAGCTGAAGCTGGTGACATGGTACAGGGTGCTGTGATTGGCCCCATGTATCATGTGACAGCTGTGGGCCAATCACAGCTCAATAGGAAGAGAAGCAGAGCTGTTATGAATGAAATTGATTCATAACAACTTTGCTTACAATGTGATCATGTGATCACTGGGTCCTGTTCACCGGGCACCGCAGTTGCGGTTGGTTGGTACAGCCAGAGCGACGTATGGGTACATTGCGGTCAGGCGGCCGGGAATTGGTTAAAGCAAATATCCATAAACAATAGTTGCCACATTTTGTTTTTTGCTTTTGATAGACGATCCAGTCTAGGACCAGATGGCATGTTTCAGGACCTAGAAGTTATTACTGCCAAGGGTATCATTTATGGTTCACACCATCCCCACATCTGAATCACACAGTAATGTGCTGTGCTTTTCTGTGCGATTCAAACTGCATTCCATTTGCAATCTGCAGCGGGTGTCAATAAAAAGTTGACATGCCAAACGCAGGTTGTAAATGCAGTGCGTTTGCCTGCACCTGCCCGCTACGTTCTGCTACTTTTCCCAAATACAGCAATACCACGTGTGAGCCTTTTTCAGTGTTTGGACTGATTATGTACCAATCCAAAACAATGTATCTTGTGTGCAGCCATGTGCTTGGCTATAGACAAAGAGCTATTTAGTAACATGCGATCTGGTTGCAGTGCCTTTTAAAAAGTAGTGCATGCATTGCTTTTGATGCGGTGGGATTTCAGCCCATTAAAAATGAATGAGCTGAAATCTCACACCACACAGGACCGCATGTGAATCGCACAGGAACGCACAACGCCTTCCAGTGGCATTCAGATGTGGGCATGGTGCAAACCGACCCTTAACGTAAAAACGATTATCAAATTACAGAAGTTAATGTACATTTGTGTGCAGTCCCGGGAAAAATTAGGTACACCCCATGAAAATTGCTGAACCTTTCCGCATGTTTGGACAGGCAAACTATATCTTTACTTACAGTGCTTCAAGATAAAGGTTGTCCTAATTAGAAAAATCTTGTGTTCATTGATGGACACACAACTCTTCTAAATCTGACCATAGGATTTCTAGTGCCACCTACGGTCAAGATTTAGAAGAGCGGTGTCCGTTGGTGAACTCGGAGAAAGGGATTTTACGGTGAATAACAAAAAAATCCTGTGTTCTGTTGCGTTCATTGGTGGACACAGCTCTTTTAAATCTTGACTGTAGGTGGTGCCATAAACTCCACGGTCAAGATTGAGAAGAGCTGTGTCTGTCAATGAACTCAGAGAAAGGCATTTTATGAACAGTAACAAAAAATCAAAATTTTCAGTTATTTATGTAACAAAAATATTAATATATGTATGGAAACTGCGGTAAAAGAAAGTACATCCTTGGCATTGAACGTTGGTATTGCCCCTCTTGCAGAAATTACGTTTTGTAATCATTTTCCAAAAAACTGCTTCTTTGTCTCTGACATTTCTGTAAGATACTTCCACACGCGTTTCCTTCAGTTACAAGATGTTTGTAGGTTTCCTTGCCTAAACTTCCTGTTTCAAACTGATGCTAATTACATTGACTGAAGTAGTAGTAAAAACGTAGGGGTGCACTTAACATTTTCCATATGACAGATCTGCAGTTTTTACATTTAGGCGAAAATGAATGTACCTTGTCATTTATTAGGCCTGGTTCACACCTATGCATGTTGTGATTAATGTATTTTGCTTTCACGCATTTTTGACATGCTTTCTGATGCGTTATGCTTTTTTGCCCTTAGAGT